CAGCTGGTTCTTAATGCCTTGATGCGGCCTCCGTTCGAGCCCATGGCGTCCATCGACCTCAAATTCCTGACTCTTAAATCGGCCTTCCTTGTTGCAATCACATCAGCCAAATGGGCTAGTGAACTCGCTGCTCTTTGAGCCGATCCTCCCTTTATCCAGTTTCACCCCGATAAAGTGGCTCTTTATTTTGATGTTTCCTTTCTCCCGAAGGTGGTCTCCGACTTCCACCTCAACCAACCCATCATACTACCCTGCTTCTTCAAGTGTTCTTCATCGCCCCTAGAACATATGCTCCATAATCTTGATGTCAGACGTGCCCTGGCTTTCTACGTCGAAAGGACAAAAAATTTCAGAAAGTCCAATAAACTCTTTCTTTGCTTTCACAGCCCAAACAAAGGGGCCCCATCCTCTTCTCAATCCATAGCACGGTGGATTGTACAGACTATCTCCCTTGCTTACAGCTTGTTGGGAAAGTCCCCTCCAGAACATTTGACAGCTCATTCCACCAGGGCGCTGTCCAGCTCTACTGCCTTTCAATGCGGCACCAAGGTTCCTGACATCTGTCGTGCTGCTAGGTGGTCCATACTGTCCACGTTTGTCAACCACTACGGTCTAGACGTCAGAGCACGCCAAGATGCTGTATTTGGCAGGGCTGTCCTGTCATCCTTCTTACCATGACGACCCACCAACCGGTAATTGCAGCTTGCTAGTCACCCATATGTGTGCATTCACAGAGGCCATGAAAAAGCAAAAGAGGGTACTTACCTGTAGCCATAGTTCTTTGAGTGGTCCTCTGTGAATTCACACAACCTGCCCATCGTTCCCCTCTATCCGTCACAGGTTAATTATGTAATTAATTAATTAATTCTTTCCTTCATACCCGGCAGATAAAATTCAGGAACTGGGGAAGATAGTGGGTGGGAGGAGCATATACCTCGTGGAGGATCACACCATAAAATTGTTACTTTTAGCTCTAGAATCTTCTGAGACAGTCAGCGCAGGCGCAGACAATACCCATATGTGTGAATTCACAGAGGACCACTCAAAGAACTATGGCTACAGGTAAGTAACCTCTTTTTCCTGTTGCTTCCCAGATGTAGGTTCTGTAAAAATGACTTATTCTGAATTAGTCACGGAGCCTGAGTGTCTGGTGCTCAGTCTCACATAGCTTTGTAACTCTACATCATCCTGTGAGAAAAAATAATTGCATCTCCAGCATTGGGGAGATGCTCATATATTAATTGCTTATATTCCCCAGAAGGCCAGGAAATTACATGAAAAACAAGAATTCATGTGACTAATGAAAGAAGGTACACAGTTATTTTACGAAATAACCCCAACCACCACCACTGCCGCCACCACGGAATACTAGAAGCAGATAACATCCTCCACACAAAAGTTAAAGAACTGATAGAAAGGGAACATATCGAGAGAATGCGGAAAATCTTAATGTCAAAATTAAATACAGTGGTGCCTCCCATTGCAACGTTAATTCGTTCCGCAAAAATTGCTGCAGAAGGAATTAACGTTGCAATGCGATATTTAAAAGCCCATAGAAATGCATTAAAACGCGATTAATGCGTTCCTATGGGCTTAAAACTCACCATTCAGTGAAGATCCTCCATAGCGTGGCCATTTTTGCTGCCTCTTAAGCAAGGAATCCCTCCCTAAACACAGCGGGCCATTTTGTTTACCCGTCGGCCATTTTGAAACCACCGATCAGCTGTTTTAAAATTGTTGCTTTGCGATGCTTGGTTCCAAAGCAGGGAACTGAGCATCGCAAAGGGAAATTCCCCCATAGGGAACATCGCAAAAAATGCATCACTAACGGAGCGATCGCTATGTGAGGCACCACTGTAGTAGAAATACAATCAAAGCCATAAACACATGGTCAGTTCCAGTAATTGGATATCCACTTGGAATAATACATTGGACACAAAATAAATTTGAAGAATTGGATTGAAAAACACTGTAACTGATTAACATTCATCATGCACTACATCCAAAAAGTGGTTGTATTTACCATGAAAAATGGGAGGCCATAGATTACTCAAATACAGCAGGTAGTAGAGGAGGGAAAAAAGAGGTCTCAATAATTATATCAGTACAAGTAGAGAAAAATTACTTAAGGGTGTGAACATGGAGAATATTTTGAAAAGAACAAAAACAAAAGCTCAATATAAGAAGCAACAATTTGAAAATAAAACAGTTGGAAAAATACATGGATAACATCTAAAAACATTGGTGGAAGGTATGATAATTCAGTATGGGCATAGTTAAAACTGGGGACCATTAAGAAAGAAACTGAAGACTTGATTTTTGCTGCACAAGAACAAGTACTCCAAACAAGTGTGATGAAAGCTATGATTCAAGGAATTAGTGCTAATAGCAAATGATTACTCTGCCAAGCAAAAGATAAAACTGTGTTACACCTGATCTGTGAATGTCCAAAGATGACACCTTGAACATAACACATTAGACAGTAAAGGTAACGGTAAAGTTTCCCCTTGACAATTTTTGTCCAGTCGTGTTCGACTCTAGGGGGCGGTCCTCATCCCCGTTTCCAAGCCATAGAGCCAGCGTTTGGCCGAAGACAATCTTCCGTGGTCACATGGCTAGTACGACTTAGACACGGAACGCTGTTACCTTCCCACCGAGGTGGTCCCTATTTATCTACTTGCATTTGCATGCTTTCGAACTGCTAGGTTGGCGGGAGCTGGGACAAGCGACGGGCGCTCACTCCGTCACATGGATTCGATCTTACGACTGCTTGGTCTTCTGACCCTGCAGCACAGGCTTCTGCGGTTTAGCCCGCAGCGCCACCACGTCCCTATCCATTAGACAGTAGTAACTGAAATATCTGGATAATTGACATTACAATTCCAGGAGATGCCAGAGTTCAAGATAAAGAATTGGGAAAACTAACAAAATGCAGAGACTTGGCAATTGAAACATCTCGCTTGTGGATGAAATACAGTGGTCCGCCTCCCTAGTCATCAGGGCTTTGGGAACAATATAAAGAAATTTCACACAGTATTATAAGCAGTTGCGGATTCCAGAAATAATACCATCAGAGCTACAAAGAAACAGGAATATTAAAAACAGTATATATACTATGTTGATATTTAACAGATACTTAGGTTTTTGGTTAACTTAAAACTTCTGTTATGTAATACCACTCAGTGTTTTTATAATTTTGATTGACTGTGCCTAGTACTTTTGAATAATAATATAATTCTATAGAAATGCATTTTTTCACAGCATAATGTCACCGTGAGCCACATTTCAATATCCAATACGTGGTTGCCATCCCTCTTCCTAGAAATGACCTACATTTCAATTCTTTCTTCTGAATTTTCTCCATTAACTTTTCAGTTTCTGCAAATTGAAAATTTTCAACAGCTATTAACACTTCATATAGGCTGAGTCAGTACTATTTTGGTTATTCTTAAGCTGGCAGCTCTTTTTTAGCTTTATTTTTTACATGTTTTGATGGGGGTAGTTCTTGCAAGTTGTGGATCAAATGTGATCCGTTGGTTGATAATTTTCTTCAGTTTCAATGGGGCATTTGTTTGCCACAGCAACGTAGCCTAGCCCTTATATGCCTTTTTCCAGCCATTGCTTACTTTTCTGAAAAATTCATGTGTCATCAATCTGATTCTAAACTAGAGAAAATTTTGCCTTCAATGAACTTGAATTTTTCACTGCAACTAGACATTGCTAGGTTTTTTAATGTTTGAACCTCATTATGTTTTCTTTCTTGAAAATGAGGCATAATATTTAAATCTGACGTTTTATGCAAGGACTGAGTTCAGTTTTTTGCCCTTATACTAGATCTTATATTGAAACCCCTCTTCATGTGGCATTAACTCCTGTAGGGAAAATGCAGTTTACTGGGAATGTGGAGTGAAATTGTGGTGTGTGGATGTTGTGTTCAGCAGGATGAACTTGAAGAGTTTTTTTTCCCCTTCTGATATGGGTGTTTTTGTTTGTTTTTGTTTTTGCTTTCTAGCAGATTTTCAAAAGCATCACCAATGAAGATTCGGGCCAGGGACAAGGAAGCAGAAGATTGATAAGTTTCTCGTTGTCAGGTATGCCTTAAGCTATAGTTTCAAAATCCCGGTATACTTCTGAACAAATACTTCAGCAACCCAAAATTAATCTGGCTTTGGATTCATTTATTATGTTTCCATCCTGCCTGCCTTCTGTGGGTACAGACCACAGCATAGAGGTCTAGCTCATGTTAACAGCACAACTTCATTAAGAGATAGTTTGAAATGAGTGTTCATGACTTGCCCAGGCACATCCTGGAGTTTCGCTATTGATGGGAAGATCAGAATCAAGTCCTCTGTGGCTGCTTATTTCTCAGTATTGGTAGGTTTTGTCCCTAGTCACTGTTTCATAACATCAGTTTCTTTCAAACTATTGCCCCTGAAAGTCCTGATCCATATTTTCAGTATTTCCGGTCTCCTTCTTCATGACAGTTTTCTTACTGGTGTTTTTAATTCCTCCACCATTGTACTCAGCCCAGTATCCATGGACTAAAATGTAACCTCTTTGGACTACAATTCCCAGAATACCCCAGCTGGCATGGCCATTTGGGATACACTCTATCGAGCTATTTAATTTTTTAGAACAGTAGTATCCATGCACAATTTTGGGTTTCTAGATCTTAATATTATAGTAAGTAGACTACAACTACCAGCATCTTCCCTCTAAGGTCTTTGCATTGCACCCCTCAGAACTCCTCAGTTAGGATGTCCAGCCACAAAATAGTTAAAGTTGGGAAATTAGTAGAATTTGTGTACATGAACTGCTTGATAGCTCAGTAGTTTAGGCATCTGACTGTGGCACCACATATTGGGAGTTAAGTCCCCCACTGTGCATCCTTGACAGGGGCTGGAGATATTGGGAGTTAAGTCCCCCACATCCTTGACAGGGGCTGGACTCAATGATCCACAAGGTTCCTTCCAGCTCTACAGTTCTAAGGTGGTGATGGTAATTTCATATTTCTAAGTGTTATCACTTCTATGAGGTGATTACAGTACCTAGAATCACCCAGCCTACCTTGTTATTTGGAATATAATCCATCCAGTTATTTCAGTTGGGACTTCAAGTAGTTTCAGTGCAGAAGTTCTTGTTTGTAGCTTTTACTGTTTTGTAGATCTTTCCCCCACACACACACACACACATACCCACCCACCCACACAAACATTTTCTGCTGTATTTATATGATTACATCTGCAACCAACCTTCTACCAAGAACCTCAGGATGATGTGTGTGGATTCCCTCGCTTATTTTCACAGCAAAGCCTTAAGACACTAGGTTGAAGTCCAGCTAGATAGCCAGTTATTCGAAGAGGGAATTATTTAAGTGCCAAGATAGCAGAACCTTTCACATCTGCCATCGTTTCCAGATTATCTGTGAAGATTCTCAGTCATTCAGGTGAGGTTATCTGGAAGTTGAATCATGGCAACTGGACTTCTTCCTTGTTAAGTTGAAATGCTTTGTTACTCAGTCAAGTAGCTTCTTCTGTCTGAGGAGAGTCTCCTGATATATCCTCCATGTTGGTTTCGCTTCTTCCTTGTCTGAATAGGCTTGTTGGATGGACAATGAACAAAGGTTCCAGATTTCCAGCTTGTTTTTTGTTATTCTTCTTTGGACTTCAGCACATGCTTTGTTTGCTAGTATAATTGGTCAATTACAAAGGTGTGCCTCACTCATGTTTCTAGCACGCTAATGGATTTCCGGTGTCTAATGACAGATTGTCTGTACTGTAACATACCTCAACCCTAAGAAAGAAGTTCTTTGCGACTTTCTAAAGATTCTGGCCAGTCAGTGCAATCCCTTTTCACTCAGTATGAACTAAAAGTGTTATCAAAATGTACATGGTAACATTCCTATAAGACTTTATTTTTGCAGAGGAAGACCTGTTGTGATGGAGATGTGGGGATCAAGTATAAATAAGAACATATTACCCTTCTTTGTAATTCCTGAGTTTTCTTATTAAGAAACCCCACTACTCCCTAGAAAGCAGACTGAAGATCATTAGGCTTCGTGTCTAAATCAGGACCTGAACTTAGGTTTTCTTGTTCTGTGTCTGGTGGTCTTCTCCATAAATACCAGATCATCTTTTTTATTGTGCATATAAGCCTATTAGAACCTTCATTATGTGGTATTCTATTCTCTTTCATTTTCTTTTAGGACAATTAAAAAGTAGCTCTCCCTGTTAGCAGTATGTGAATAATTAATATTTTCTCCTCTTACGCTTATGACCTTGCCTCATCACCATCCCTATCCCCAGTGCCGACTTATTGCTATCTTTCCAATATGACTGTAATGTTTTTCCCTCGAGACCTCCTCTGGCTTTCTCACTGAATTGTTTTCTGTTCTTTAACAGAAAGACTTTTTGAGCTTTCTGCTCTTATTTTTCTAGCCTTTTTAAAGGAGGATTGCGTTTGACATGTGAAAACAGACAGACCCATAATATTATCTTCCTTTTCTCCATGCTATATTTTGCTTTTATAAAAAAAGAAGCCAAACACCACTTTGTCATATCTTGCTAAGTCTCTCCAGCTGAAATTCTGTTGTGTAGTATATTAAGTGACAGTTAGAGTTGGCCCATTGAATCAGTAGAACTTACAGAGGTTTGACTCACCAAATCCCCACAATAGAGCCTTCTCTATTATGACTTACTATGCTAAGCAGGAGGATTTCAGCCTCCGAGTGACAAGTCCAGTTTTAGTCCCAATTAAATGCTATTTTAATGCATTGAAACTAATGGGACTTGTTATTCGGCACTCTTATGTGGGGTTTACTTGTCAAAGTGTCAGGAAATTTTAGCAGGTCCAAAACTCAGCAGCCAGATTGCTGACTAGAACAGGTTACAGGGATCACATACCCCCCCACCCCCATTTACTACAGCTCCACTGGCTGTCTATCTGTTTCTGGACACAACTGAAGTGTTAGTTTTAACCTATAAAGCCCTAAACAACTTGGACCCAAGCTACCTCAAAGACTGTGTCTCCCAATATGAACCTGCTTGGATACTAATATCATCAGGGGAGGCTTGTTTCTTGGTCTCACCACCTTCCCAGATGTGCTTGATGGGGGCACAAGAGAGGGCCCTCTCTGTTGCTACTCACAGAATTTGGAACTCCCTTATCACAGGAGGCTAGGCTGGTCACATCTTTGTTCTTCCACAAGCAAGTGAAGACCTTTCTTTTCAGGCAAGCTTTCCCTCAATGACTGGCTGCCTGAGCGTGATCTTTTTAGATGGATTGTTATGCATCACTGCTGTTACTGTGTTTTTAGTATTGCTTGTGTCTCCCATTTCTAAGAAGGTTATTTTGTTTGTTCCTTTAAAAAAATTCTATTCTTACTGTTTTTAGCTTTAAATATTCCCTTTTAATGAAACAGTATACCTTTGTATAGTCATTGTTGTGTTCTTAAATGTTGTCTTTAAATGCTGTAAGCTGCCTTGGGTCCTTTTCCAAAGAAAAAGGCAGGATAAAAATAAATAACATAAGTCATGGTGATTTCACTGAGTCTACTCTTAGTTGAGATTAAAATTGGATTTAGTATTGTGTTTCTTCCTGCTTCATCCAGATTACTATATTGCCTATCTCTGCCATATCTTGATACATTCTTCTTAAATATATTTGTACAACGAGAGTCCTCCCGCCATATTTGCCATATCCAATTTAATTGACAAGGCTACCCACGAATCTCCTGTCTATGATTTCTACTTTGGGAATGAAGTTTCTTTGAAAAGAGAATGACTGTTGATCTAGTTCAAGTGAGTAATTCAAGTACACTCTAACAATGTATTACTGGAACAAGTAGGCTCAACATTTTAAGAAAGGCATGACTGTAGCAAGTAACTTTGCCATGTGGTGGTGTAAATAAAACCTCCAGTTATCCATGCCTTCATAATATGCTGATTAGTTTACTACATTCTGATGTATGTGGGGTTTCATTCAAATACTTGGAAAGTATAACTGCTTCAAAAATGGCTGTTTCTTAGTAAAACACTTTGATTAGAATATGCCTTGCCAATGTTCCTCACTAGCTTTTAGTTTGTTTTTTAAAAATATAATTCAAAATTCTAATTTTGACTTACATTTTATTTTTACTTATTTATTTAAAATGTTTTACCCCACCTTTCTCATAAAAAAGGACCCAAAACAGTTTACATCATTAAAAATGCAATATTAAAAGCTAAAAATAGTAAATTATTCAAATATTAAAAGAATTTAATGAACATTATATTCAAAATGTTAGATAAAATCATTACTGGAACAGATTTAAAAGTAACAAAAATTCAAACCATCGCATTTTCAAACCTCTCTAAAACAGTCCATCATTAAAGAAAAGCAAGAAAATCTTCACCTGCTTGCAGAAGTACAGCAAAGATGGGGTCAGCATGACCTCCCGTGGGAGGGAATTCTAGAGTCTGGAAGCAGTGACTGAGAAAGTCCTCTCTCATGTCCCACCATGTAACAACCAGTTTGCAACCAGAGTACAAGAATCTTTCCCCCTGTTTTCTTATATGATCTTCAGAAGCCCTGCTCTGGGTGTGCCCCTTTTGAAAGATAATGTGGTCACAATCAGAAGGGATTTTCCTTATGCAATAGCATCTTCAGAGCTGTTCAGATGGGGGAAAGTGTACGATCCATAAATGCTGAGATCATAAATCATCAAACTCTTTAAAACTTCTGCTTAGGTTTTTAGTAACAGTTTTATAGTTTTTATCTTGTTCTCTTAGCCTCCCTGAGACTCTGTTGTTCCTTATGAGTGTCATTTGCTGATTTTTCTTTCTCCTGGCACTCATTTTTCTTCCCTCTTAAAATTTATATGTCTGGAACATGATTTTTAAGACAAATCAATATAGTGGTATAATGGAGCAACTTCATTAACAATGCCAGGATAATACTCTGGAAACCAGAGCATCATGCTACCATTCTGGAGTTATGGGTAGCTTCATCATTTTTCTTGAAAATAACCTTCCAAGCTACGTATCTCTTAGGTTCTCTATTTTCTCTGCTTTATTCTAATAATATCTGAATTCCCTTTATTTGAATAGGGGCCTTCAATTTTCCATGGATTCAAGGCTTGTTTCCAAATATTTTTTAAAAAAAATCTTTTGCCTTTGTGTAATGGAATGTGCAGGGAAATCATGCCTTGCTCTTAGGCATCCTTCAGTCTTTAAAGACTGTGATAACATGCTCTGTATGGAGGACTTGGAACAGCGTCTAGTGTGGCTGAGAAGGGCAATTCAAGAGTGACAATCCCTTCCACACTGAAGACAAATCCAATCTGTCCCCTGTCCAGCTCCCTGATTTTGCTGCTTTCGTAACTGCCTCTTTGCCTTGGCCTGCTAGACAAGGGTCTCTTCAAACTGGGAGAGGCCATGATGCACCGCCTGCCTCCAGGCTGAACGCTCAGATGTCAGGGTTTCCCATCTGTTGAGATCCATTCTTAAGGCCTTCAGATCCCGCTTGCAAATGTCCTTGTATCGCAGCTGTGGTCTCCCTCTGGGGCAAAATTTCAAAACTTTTCTGTTCCATTTTGGCTTATATGTTCTGCTCCTTGTAGTACACTGGTTTTCTTCTAGATTTGGCTCTAATTGAGCTATATGCTACATCTTACACTATTATATTATTGTTCAGATGTACCTTATTATCCGCAAGTATAATTGTTTCCAATAATTCTTCCAAATTCTACTTCTGTTAGTAACTTTACTTCCAAAAAATTGACCTACTTTTTTTTTGAATGATTGTGAAACAGAGAAAATATGCTTGCCTTGTCTTGTTTCTTACATGCTCCAGTGATCTTTCTGAGAAATTGCCTGACATTTTCAAACTGATTGATATGAGCTATTTATTGTGAGGAAGGCTATGATTTATGTGCAATCAAAAATGATGTATGGTATATTAATGTGATTCATCTGTAGGTTTGGTTTTTAAAATATGCACAGGGAGTGTTAACTGTTCTCTTTGTTTTCCTTCTATATTCACCCAAGACAAACCAAAATTCACTGGATTGCTTTGCATTTTTATTATTAATAAAAACGTAAGGTCTCCTAGTAGCTAAACTCAAGACATTTTGAAAGCTATTTTGTTAAGATAAAAATAAGTTCATTTGCAGAGGATAGATTTATTGTGTATCTCTGGAAATACTGTGACATGGCGTGGATTGCACAGGAAGGCGAAGGTTGCCTGTGAAATTTGGTTGGTTGTCTTCCTCCAATGCCAGAGTGAGGAATAAACTAACATTTGAAAGGTTCTGCTTGTTTATTGTATGAGCTGGAAGAGTTAAAATTCACAGAATGCAGTAGAGAGATCTGTCCTCTGGCTCAGAATTCCTAAAGCCTCGGGAGTGGGAGTAGGAGGTTGCCATTTTTACATTTGTCCTCCTTTTAGCACTCTTCACCCAAGCTCACAGAAATCATGGAAGAATTTTTCTTGGCCTTTTCAAGCTTATCTTAATCTTCTCCATTCATTGTCCCCAAGAACCTTGCCCATGTCTGAATGTCATATCACTTGACCTACATCTCCTTCCAGCATCTGTAGTTGGCCACCTTGGACCACAGGTTACTGCCTTTCTCCTATTCCTTTCTGATGTGTCACCACTAGGCCATTCCTAATCACACACACTTCGTATTTTAGCAAGGGTTTTAATAGCAGCTGCAAACAAATCTTTTGGGAAAATCTTCCATACATCATCTCTTTTGCATCTCTCTCCATGGATGCTAAATAGGAATATGCTAGAAGTAAGAATATGCTGTAACTATTCCTTTCATTGCTATCTCTCAGTCTTCTATTGCCGCTCCTAAAGAGTTAAACGTTCATTCTTTCCTGTCTTCTTTGTCTCAATCCTTTGTATGTCAGGCTATTAACATATCAAGCTATAAACATGGCTTTCTTGCAAGTGGGCTAAACTTTTCCTCTTTGGACCATGTGCTCAGGCCTTCAAGGGTTTCACAAACAATGTAAGATAAATGACTTATGTCACTTTCCAACCAAAAAAACCATTCTTTTCTGGCAAATTAATCCATGCTTCAGTTTACATCATGGAGACACCTTATTTTAAACTAATCTTTTAAAAGCAGAACTCAATTCAACCATGGTTCTTATTGTCAGCAGAACTGGGCTCTAAGTGATCTCCTAAAAGAGCTTCCCACAGACTTGACAGTCCAAATCAAAATTTACATCAGTCAATGAGATTTATTTCACTGGTTCTAAATGTTACTTTGGGTATCATTGTGACAGAGGATTTGAATAATGTGCTTTAAAGTAATGTGGTATGTTTGCAAAATTATTTTAGAAAAAGCTGAAAAATAGTTAAGGGATAAATGGTTAAAGTCAATGCTAATTACATCCTATAGATTTCCAAGCTTTTGGGCTGAAGAAAGGCATGTTCTTCAATCCAGATCCTTACTTAAAAATTTCGATCCAGCCTGGAAAGCATAGTATCTTCCCAGCTCTTCCTCATCATGGACAGGAGAAGAGATCCAAGATCATATGTAACACTGTCAATCCCACCTGGCAAGGAGAGGTAAGTTGCTGGATTGAAAAAAGAAAATAAAATATGTAAAAGGAGTACAAATGTTTAGGAGAAAGAATATAGTTTTATGCAAGTACAAAATTCTCCATTCACAGGATACATAGCAATTCACATGTTGAGGTCTCCAGTAGATTACCTTGGGTCTCTTTACTTAGTGAGCTTATATGGCAGGACCCTCAGCATAAGCAACTTGGCATCTTGTACTCTTAACTGGATGACAATACCAGGCACTTCTTGACCCTTTTATGTAGTTCCAGCAGGTAGTGATATATGTTAGCTTTTATACATGAAAGAAGCTTGGTATTTGAAGTAGTATGCCAGAGGCACATTTCAGGGTATAAAATGTGAGGCACCTAATACAAGAATATCACCTAGAATGGTGGCAGCTGAAGCAAGGTAGTCCTTTGCATGGTTACCAGTGTGCTATATGTTTGGTTGCCTGGGCACAAAGGTCAGAACATGCTACTAGCTACACTAGTATATATTGAATGCCTCTTAGGTTAAGATACTAGAAACTCATCATTTCTTATGCCTAGTTCAAATACGATCCTTAGCTTAGAATTTCTGAATACATCATCCAATTAGTTCTTGCAGCTGCCTGACCGACACAGAAAGTGTTAACTGTGCCTTTTGCAGCCTTTCTCAACAAGGAATAGGAAATATCTGACAGAGGGAAGCAGGAAAGGCCCTCTAGACATGTCCGGGGGGGGGGACTTTTGAATTTTTCCCAGGCTCTGCCAGCTGGGAGCGCAGGGCGATGGGGCAAGGCAAGGAGGGCTCCACACAGCCCTGACAACCCGCCCGCTCTCGCAAGCCTGCCTCCCCCCCCCGGTCTCCAACCCCGGTCTCCAGCCGTGGGGTCTCTCCATGCTGCTGGCTTTCCAGGCTGCCTGGAAAGCCAACATCAGGGAGAGACCCTGCAGCAGGAGGCAGGAGCGTGGGGGGGGAGGTCTTTTGAATTTTTCCCAGGCTCTGTTGGCTGGGAGTGCAGGGTGATCGGGCAAGGCGAGGAGGGCTCCGCGCAGCCCTGACATCCCCCCCGCTCTCCCTTGTGAGCCTGCCTCCCCCACACTATCTCCCGCTGCAGGATCTCTCCTGGAAAGCCAGCAGCATGGAGGGGTCCCGCGGCAGGAGACAGAGCCCCATGGGGAGGCCATTTGAATTTCCTGGGCTCCTGTCTTCAGCCACTGTGTCCCTCTGCACTCCTAGCTTTCCAGCCGGGCTCCGGAAGACCGCACCACCATTTGCGCAGGAGCACAAGCATTCGCTTAGGCGCAAACAGCCTGTGCGGGGGTGAGTGCAGGAGGGAGGTCTGTCTTAGCGGCCCAGTCAGGCTTAAGCCATGGGCTGGCAATGGGCCGCGGACCATGGGTTGATGACCTCTGCTCTATGGAACCTTGGGTCAAATTGCATCCTCCTTCAAAGGTTGTCTTTTGAAAGTATATGAAGTTATGAAAAAAAATATTGAGTGGAAATGGCAGGAATGAATGCTTTGGGAGTAAGAATAATATATAAAAATAAAATTATATGTTGAAAATACAGAATGGGAGGGGAATGAGAAAGGGCAGAGTTGGTAGGCAAGGAAGCTATGTGAAGATATGGTGTTCTTGCTGAGCCATGTATCCTCATTATGTTTCCTCATTAGCCAAATCATTTAATTGATGACTCATTGCTGACATCATCTTTTTCATCAACAAAAACAACTTTCTGGTACTGGCCTAGCCTTCCCCATTCTTCATCCCGCTATATGTGATCAGCCTATGTCTCCCATCATCCCTAAGCTTGCTGGGTTGGACCAATGGAACACAGCTTGAGTGTTCCAGGGTGGAAAAGACTGTACTAGCCATTGTCCTATATAACATTAAAAAAGTTCAAGGGTGGAATTTCAAGATGTTGGTAATGACTCAGAAATGTATTTTCAAGAAAATAATATTAATATTGAAAAGAAGATAGAAAATCAATTTTTAAAGAATATGATACAAATATGGAATAGATATAGAAATATATTTATCCAACCATTTTATCCACTATATCATGTAACAGAGTTAGAGAAATTTCCAGGGAATTTGAAAGGAAGTTTGGGGAAGATATTAAGGAGGAAAGATCAGGTGGAAGGACACCAAGCCCCCATGACAGAGGGTTTTGGTCAATCAGACTACCCTTCATCTCCAGGCTCTCCTGCATCTTCAGAGGCACAGCACTCTCAGTCCTCCCATGAACCCGAGCTACCTCCCCCGCTTCCAGATACAAGGGATAGCCATGCTTCATCTACTTCGGAAGACTTCTCCTCCTACTCTACCCTTATCTTCCAAATGGCACGAGCTCTGCAGCTCAATACTGAACAGCCCCTGTCTGCTGATGCCGACCCGGTGTTCGATGACATCAATCAGGAGCATCCCACTCCTTTGAGTCTTCCTTTCAATTAGTCTATCCTTCAACTTATTAAAGACACTTGGGGAAAACCCCCTTCCACTATGCAAATCTCTCGCCGTACCGATGGCCTCCATAGGACCCATGGTGTCAATGCCGAATTCCTCAATAAGCATCCAGTGCCTAACTCCATCATCGTTGAGTCCAGTCAAGCTTGAACCCATGCCAGGTCTAAACCTACCCTGGCCAATAAGGATGGCAGAAAAGTTGACACATTGGCAAAACGAATTTACTCTTTGCAATCCTTTTTGCTCAGAAGTATTTGCTACCAGGCAACCATGGGTGCCTTTCAGCGTCATCTCTGGAACCAAGTCCTTCCTCTGATTGATGTGGCCCGTGAGCCCATGAGATCTGATCTCATCAATATCCATTATCAAGCCATTTCTTTGGCCAAGTACCAGAGGATTACAGCGCGACACTCCGCTGAGGCTGCCTCTAAGACTTTGGTCACCTCCATTTCCATTCGACGCCATGCCTGGCTCAAGTCCTCCACGATCTCTGATGACACCAAGTCAAGAATCGAGGACTTGCCCTT